TGTTACAGTATGAGTGTGTACCAGGGAGATAGCTTCTTTTCATGTGTCTAGTTGCCATTCATAAATAAAGAAGTAGGAGGGTGGTTATGAGAGGATTGATAACCTGATGCTGTCCATGCCTCCAGTGTGACAAGATAAAGTGAAAAATGCCCCCAGTTGGAAGATTCATCCAGCAGCTGGTGTGCACAGTTTGGTTAGTTTATAGACATATTAAAATGCTGTCCATGTTTATCTGGAGATACAACTCTAATTTTTAAACTCAAATGGTGAGAGCACCAATTACTCTTATTACTATAACACAACTTCTGATAAGGAAAAAAAATTCATGTAGATCTTAAACTTCTGGCTTTACCACAAGTTCGTTCCAGCTACGTTTTGTGCTGAAGCTACCAAGCAGCAAAACCGTTCTGTTGCCTCTGTGGCCTGCATCATTTTCCCATAGCAAAAATAATTTAGTAATCAAGTGACCACCACTGTAGGAAATAGCAGAGAGTACCTCAGAACTGGAGGGGAGTCAGACAGAATCTAACGAATGTCATCATCAGCTAACATCTAAATCACACATCTGAATGCACCTCAGGAGCCCTTGGTTCACTGGCAATCAGAATAAAATCCCATGAGTTTTTCCTCCTGTGAAAAGAAACTGAGTTCCTACACGCCATGCCACTACTAGTGCCAGTGAGAAATGGAGACCCTTTGCTATATTTTAATACTGCAGAAGACATCAAACTGATTGGCATTTCCTGATTAATGGGAAGTTTGAACACGTTCTTTCTTGGATTCAATCCTGTCACTTCGTGACCTTTGTATATATTTTTTTCCTTTTATGCTAAGGGTTGAACTCAGAGCCTTCCCAATGAGCTATATCCCCTGCCTCTTTATATATTTTTATTTTGAGACAGGGTCTCACTAAGTCTCTAAGTTGCCTAGGCTTTGCCCGAACTTGATATCCTCCTGACTCAGCCTCTAAGAGCGCTGGGATTACAATACTCAGCTCACTTGTAATTTTTCAGTGTTAAAATGACAGTTTGGAAGAAAGCATAGGTCTAGTGAAGTTTACTCTTAGGAACATTTGCCCTTTCAAATTTGATCATGGACCCAGTCACTTGTCAAATCAACATAGATCTTCAGCACAAGACCAGGTGTGGTGAATCATGGGAGACTTAGCATGAAGAAGAACCACAGTGCAGAAGCTGGAGGAGCTGGGGAGATGGAGAGGAGGAAAGGCACCCACGTCCCTCTGGGTCGGTCAGTCTAGACACATTTCGGAGCACACACAATGTCCTGTTTGCTCCCTGGGTCAGTTCACTTCACCGGGTGTTTACAGGACGCTGGGTGCTAGTACCAGTTAGCGCCTCTGAGCAAACATGATGTTAATGTGCAACTCACTTCTAGAATCCACTTCCTTTTAGAGATGCTGTCTGCACTTTGCAAATTTCAGACAGGAAGAATTAGACCAGTCGTTTGGTGTATAAATCCTGGGAATGAATAGAAACAGGACTGTATGCTGGGAATGCTCCTCTGCTGAAATGACTTTTCCTGAACTACCGCTCTTCTTTCTCTCAAGTCACGTAACACTGCGTCACTGACCTGCAGAAAATCCCAGGCTCCTTTCCAGTGGTGCAGTTTTATTCAAAGTTGGTAATTCGCATGCTGGATAGATCTTAATTCAGCAAATACTCTGTATAGAGGAACAGTCTTCGGACACCTGGCATAGAGTGGTGACAGGCAGACAAGGCCCTCTGCATCCTGTGATTCCTCTGTGCACACTGGGAGACAGAAAATGAGTTACAAGTAAACAGCAGAATGATAACTTGTCATCAACACTATGAGAAACAACAACAACAAATAACACATGGAAGCTTAATTCAGGGAGCACAGAGTTCAGCTCCATGGTAGATCAGGGTCGGGTTCTGCATTTAAACTTAACCCCTGAGTGTCCTCAGGGTCACTGGACTCCATGAGACTCCAGAGGAAAGCTTCATGCCACCGGGACAAGACAATCCTGCTCTGAATTGATGGCCCAATGCCGTAATTCAAGGAGAAAGGCAGGCAGCTGGGGAGAAGGAGCAGCATGGCCGTTTAGTGCTTTGGCTGACACTTCATGCTTCCAAGGGACAGCGGCCGTGAGACTGTGCCTCGGTTCTCAGGCAGCAGTGAGGGCTCCTGGGAAGAGCCCACAGTGGCCATGTGAGCTGGCATGCCCAGAGCTTCCACACTGGGAAGCCGTGGATGCTTCCCAAGGACATGGGAGTCAACACAGGTCAGCCTGTAATCAGCAGCAGCCAGATCAACACGTTGACTTTGCTTTCATCATTTTCCCCCAACAATGGTTCAGTGGCCCGTGAAATTCCACTTTCAGAAGCAAAAGATTTTTTTATTTAAATAAATCATGTCATGGTCAAAATAAACTTTTGCTACTTGTAGCCAATCCCCTCTTATTGCACAATAAAGTGTGGGGGGGGGAGGGACTTGTATTTGATACAGCCAGCGTGTAAGCCAAAAACTACCTACAGAAAAATTATTCTAAGTCTCTTTAGACCCCAGAGTGACACAATGGCTGGGACCATGTAATTATTACTGTCCTAAAAGCTTGACTTTCACAGATCCTAAAATTATGACTATTTCTCAGAATCAAAGACCTATGGAAGATATAGCTTCTTTCTTTAAGGGGCTAACAGATTAGTTGACAAAAAGGCTAGGGCCAGGGATTTAGCTCAGTGGTTCCACCACCTGCCTTGAAAGCACCAGATCCTGAGTTCAATCCCCAGTACCAAATAAAAGACAGTACAAAATTAAGCTGTGCTGTGAGCTACAAACCAAGCAGATGATAGCGGTGAAGTGGGCCTGCAGAGGAGACAGGGCTCAGCAAGTAGTGTTTGATAGCAGAAATAGGGTTGCAAGGATGGGGAGGATTTGGACAGGAAGAGCATGGAAAATTTTTGAGTGATAGGAATAAAAGTTCCTGCCCAGACCTGGACAAAAGCATTTGCGTGGGACAGGATGGGGTGGGACCACACACAGCTTGAGTCCATCTGGGGAACTGTGGGACACAGATGGACCTTGCTCCATGTGGTCATGGGCTTGGCAAGTCCCATGAGCTACAGACGTCTGCTAAGGAGTTTTGAAACAGTCTGATGCGTACTGATACCCTACCCTCCTCAGTGGGCCTGGGCACCTTGTTAGTGATTTGTAAATATTTGTATTGCTGGTAACTTGAATGGTGTCAGTTGGCTCGTAGAGGGTGAGGTTAATTCATACATAAAGACTTCCACAAAGCATCAGCCCTCAACCAAAGTCACTGCAAGGTCATTAAAACATTACCCCAAACAGAAAAGCATCTCGGTGCACCTCCTCCAGTTGATGAGCATTTCCAAGAAAAATAATTTCTCACAGTTACTATGCACACAATTGATCTTTGGTTCTTTCTTCAGAGAAGATGAGGATCACAGCAAAATTAAAATTCTTTAAAGTGTACTTTATGCTTCTTGTAATTATATTTACATTTTTATTGTTTTGAAACCAACAATCCCACATCTACTGGAGTCATTAGTGAAAGCGTCACCTCTCCTAATGTTTATTCGCCGTGGTCACTCAGCCCAAAGTTCGACTTCAGTTACGAATTAACTCCACCAGGAAATATTTTTATATGAATGCATACTTTCAAAGACAATAGGCTCCTTTTTCTCTTATGGCCTGAGTCATTCAAGGGTGAGTTCCTTTGCTAATTCTTCAAACACATCAATCTGAGTTAGCCCTGAATCTTAAAGAGAGAATTGGTGTGCCTCATCTTTCTGGGTTAATAGTCCAAGTGAAGGAACAAGAATTCATTTTCAAACCGAAATGAATCTGAGTGGGAACTCTGGTGACCAAACAATCCCTGCTTACCTATCCAGGCATCGGAATCTACAGGATTCACATCTTCCAGTCCAGCAAAAACTGGCAATTTTGAGCAATCTTATCACAACCTCCTTCCTGAAGCCGCTAGACCCTCTTTGGGAGCAAATGTTCACATTGAACTTTGAGGCATGCAAGAGACTTTGTCTTGTGGTTTTAGAGATAGATTTCTCCAAAGTAATTTAGAATTTCAGAAATACTTCACACCTCAGGTGTGACAGTGATTGAGGGAGTTCTAAAACATTCTCATATCCCAGTTTTGATCAGTATGTCCCTCCCATATCTGAAACAAATCATCAGATGTACAAAAATATCCGTACCCTTCATCTTACAAACTGAATCATCCTAGTGTGCTAACACCCTTTTGGATTCAGAGAGCATTAGAACAGTTTCATTCTTAAGAGAAAAAGCATTATTCGCTACTCTCTGTTGATATAATCATAAAATGTATAGCCCTTTTATGTACTCTTAATTCTTTTCTGTAGATTTCAGTTTTTTCATCTGTACATGGGGAATAAAATGACATCTCTAGAGCAGGGTTACATCTTGCTGATGAATGTTGAATTTTTATAACGATGCCTGGAATATCATTGCTCAACAAGCAGAGGCTTATAATGATGCTGACAATAACCCCCCCAATTTTCATACCTTCGTCTTTCCTCCACCTTTCAGGATCCACACACACATTTCCATGCGAACATAGACAAACTATTACTCGGGCCAGAAAGAATACATTTCTTTGCAGAGACTTTGCCATTGGATATATTTCTGGGTAGTTTGGTTAGGTTCATGGACTGGTGGGAGTTACTGACTCTTGGGGCCTGGTGCATCTGCAGGGAGCGAGTTCTTCCATTCTAATTCTTACTATGGGTCATAGTTACATTCATTGTTGGGATCATGTACCTTTACATGGCAAGTCTTGATTCTCATTTTTTTCCCCTTACCTCTGCCCTCCCTTCACCCCCTCCTCCCCTCCCCATCTACAAACACTTTATTTTCATCTTTTCATTCTCTCACATTTTTTTCTTTTCCCTTTTTGTTCTTCCCCTACGTATCACACCTTCCCTACACCTTTAGCTCCTTTCCTCCCATTTCTAAATGTCAGTAATCTTATTAGTTCGATTCTAATTCTTACTATGGGTCATCAATTTACAAAAAGACCCTCCGATAAAGGGCACTTGTATTATTTCCTGTGAACTTTGAATTGTGCACAGCAGCAGCCGGGGTCTCAAATGAATTGGGGGTTTCTCAAGAACGTAGAGTCAGCAACGTCTTTCTTTCCTCTCCCCTCTTCTCTGCAGGTTAACCTCAGAGCTACCGACGTCAGGCTCATGCGCCAGTTGCTTGTAATCAACGAGAGCATTGAGGCCATCAAGTGGATGATCGAGGAGAAGGCCACCATCACCAGTCGGGGCAGCAGTCTCAGCGGCAGCCTGTGCAGCTTACTGGAGAGTCAGAGCACCTCCTTGCGCGGCAGCTGCAGCAGCCTGCAGGACGGCGGCAGCGACGGGCTGGACGGCATCTCCGTGGGGAGCTATCTGGACACCTTGGCGGACGACGTCCCGGGGCATCAGACCCCGTCCGACTTGGACCAGCTCAGTGACAGTTCCGTGACAGAGGACTCTCAGGCTCCGCGCAAGCACCCCAAATTGGATCCCCAGTACTACTGCTTTGGCTGATGACCCTGCTTTTGGCATGGGACTGTTGTGCAATTAACTTGTATCTATCCTTCTTCTCTGCTGCTATATTTTTGGTGTGTTTTTTTAAAATAAGAAAACCTTTCTGAAGAAGCTTATTTTTAAATTGCTTCATGGTCTTTCTTTTGCTCCCAATATTTCTCATCTAGATTGATTTATTTTTCTTCTATCTCTATTTATTACAATATTTTTCTCCCTTTTACTGTAGCACAACATAGGGAGAAAAGAATAAGCAATAAATGTGTTTTTGCTTTTGTTTTCAGAGCAAGGGGTCAGGGATTATAAGAAATACTTTGTTAAATTTTACAATAAACCAAAGTCTGATAACTGTTAAATTTATTGCTTGTGTTTTTAAATGAGTCAAGATTTTATTTCCAAAATATAACAAAATATAGCCGTAGCAGTATATTAGGTTGAATAGAATACTCAGAATAAAACTAGCATAATTTCTTGCCTGAGTGTATAATCAGAGCTACTGTTAGTCAAATACTTCTACGTGACCGTTGTTTGAAACCCCCCACTATCTTCACTTTGCTCAACTAACCCTGCTACTGATGCTGTAGCTTAGCACTACGTCAGCACCAAGTTTAACTCAAACCTTAGACTTTTTTATTCGATAACATATATTATTCTCCCAAATTTCAAAGAATAATTCAGATTAATTGTAAAGATGATTAGAGGAAAAGATGCCCTAATTTTGAGATTTTGTTGGCATTTTCTTGTATGAATTTGCCATTCTGATAGGGCCTATAAATGCATAGATACGTACATATGTGTGGTGAATGGCAAGATTGATTCATATATAAATATAGATATAATAGAGAAGCAGAATCATTATTCATTTATGAAGTTCAGTATATTTTTTCATCATGGGATAAACAAATAATCTTTTAGTTTCCTGAAATGATACCTAGAACTATTATATATAACTCATGTGGTGAATGAAAATATTTAGTTTTGAAGTGATGCTATTAATCCTCTACATTTATCTTGATGATTCCTAGTGAGATGATTTAATTAAGATTTCAACCTCTTCTTTGTAATGATGTTTGTTTTTACACCACTTTCTGACATGAGTCAAAAAGTCTTCTTACTTAAACCTGAGAAATGTTCATATTCAAAAATGTTTTCTCTCAAATTTCCTGTTACTATATACTCGTTGCCCACTTGTCATATTCATTGTTTATTTCCAGGATATATATCGTTCAATTTCCAATTGAGATTTTTCAGGGCCTGTATTATACATGACTGTTTTTCCAAATTGCTTGATATAATTTGCATAACAACTATTTCATGGCATGAGAACTGTCACTGTTCTACACTTGTCTTAGTTACTTTCTCATTCCTGAGCCAAATACTCAATGCCCACAAGTTAAAGGAGGAAAGTTTTATTTCAACTCACAGTTTGTAGAGGTTTCAGTTCACAGTTGGCTGGCTCCAAGACAGGGTGGCGTGGCAGAGGGGCATCACAGAGGAGAAACAGTCCATGGCATGGTGGGCAGGAAGCAAAAGCAGCAGCAGCAGCAGCAAGCCTCCCTTTATATTCTATCCAGCCTACACAGTGCCCAGTATGGGCTTCCCATTAGGCACACCCAGAATTGTGCTAAATCAATCAGTGGACTAAGGTAGTATCACAAATCCTTAATCTCTATATCACACCCTTAATACACATTCACACACCCAAGATTCAAGCACCTTTGAAATACTCCAACTATGACCGCATGAGGCTTTGTGGGAACACTTAGATACAATCATAACAATACTTAAGGAAACTGAGGCACATAGACAGTAAGTAACTAGGTCAAATATCCAGAAAGTGTCAAAGCTAGAATTGGAACTTGGGTATGTCTTATCACTAACAATGACACTCCATAATCTCTTTGCAGTTTACTGACATTAAATAATAAAATGTGAATGAGAAAAAAAACTTAATGATAAAAACAATAATGTAGCCAACATTTTTTCTCTAATCGGTAGCATTGATTTTTCCCAATTCTGAGCTTACCAAGTGCTTTCTTGAAATCACACATTCAGAGTCATTTTCGTGCCAAGTCTGGGAGTTGGCCGCACAGCAGTTGTTCCTAATATAGTCCTCCTTTTCTACACATTTTTATTTTCAATTTAGTATAGGATGCTTGGTTGGTTATTTTGTTTGGTTTTAATCTGTAATCAAACTAAGAAGTTTTTTGCATGCATTGTTTATCAAATTAAAATTATAGAGTATCCATTGTTACTCGATAGAGAAAACATTCTTGAAAGACCAAATAATTTCAAACAGAAAGTAATGAAATATATAACCATCTCTCTACAACATCATAAGAAAACTATTCTGAGTGAGAAAGAAATGGGCAGACAGCAATTTAAAAGGGGACAAGAGCAAATCTAACCCATTATTTCCTTAGAATGGGCTATGCACATGAGAGACAATTTCTGTTTTCAGATCACAGTTTCAGACTGGGAATTCATTCTGGCAAATTTCTTTTACACCATCCTTTTCCAACCAGCCTCCCTTACTATTTGTCTATAGCTTCCATAAACTTCTCCTCTGTAAAAAAGGAAATGAAAAAAAATGTTAAGACAATTAGAGAAGTTTATGGAATAGTTTCACTTATACATACATTGCTTTATGAGGAATGTGTAATTAACACTGGCAGATATTTGAATTTTTTTACTCCATTAATAACGTCTCCATATTTCATATGCTTTTTATTTATTCAAAATATATTTTGCAAATGATAGCAAATATAAATTATATGTGATTTAGGGAATCCCATAGAGTATACGCTAATAATTTTTCATAGTTGATTTTACTAGAGAAAGGGGATATGTGGGCAAATAAGACTAATTACTAACATATTTATTGGGCTCAAAAGAATGGTTGTGAAACAATTCCTCATCTTCAACTGAAGAATCCACACAGCTAATCCCCGACCTGGAACAGTTGATGTTTGATCCCTGTCAGCACCATGAGGAAATGGGGAGAAATAAAACAAAAGTATTTTTCAGAGCATTCTGCCTGCCCTGAATTATGCTTTCCCAGAGAAAATGGAATGTGCTTTACTTACATTAATCTATTTTATGGACTTGCTAGTCATCTCATGGAAGTGAAAGAACTGAACATAAAGAATTCAAACAAGTTAAAGCTAGTTTATTTTTGGCATTTTGTAATAATGGAGCTCTCTATGACCAACCAACTTAGAAATCTTAAATAAAAGGAATTTCCAATGTTTATCTGGCCAATGAGCCCCTAATTACATAGTATAAAATGTTAATTGTCTTCAATGTCTAGAAATGCAGTAAGATTCCTTGCTAGTGGATGGATTGTATTGTGTTGGATCACCACAAATAACTTTAATTCCATCAAAACATAATCACCAACATGATGCAAAACCAAGTGCTTCCTATGTCCTCTTACCTCAGGCATCTCTACTTGACATCTGATGTGTGCCTCTGTCGGAGCATATCAACACTCTGCAGTCTTTCTCATTTAGTAAATGGTGTCTCCCTCTTCTCATCAACTTCTCAGCCCAAATCCTTGAAGTGTTTTTTCATACTGTCTCACTATGTAGTTCAGGCTGGCCTTGAATTCTCAGTGATCCTCCTGCCTCAGCCTTCCAAGTGCTAGGATTACAGGTATGTGATACCATACCCAACAGAATCCATTCTCAATTACTCTCTTTTCCTCACATAATATTGGAGTTATATGAGCTTCACTTTAGAAACAGACTCAGAATACTGAAAATCCACTTTGAAACCTTGGCTACTCCTCTTAAGTCACCAACTCTTGTCCCCTATGTTACTGCAATAGTCCTACCTTGCTTCCTTCCTAGATTCAATGCTCAGCACAGCAGATTAATTTGGTGAGATGCAAGGCACAGTTTGTCAGCCTCTACTGCAGACTTGTCATGGGTTTGTATCTCTTTTGGAATCTAATTCAAATCCTTATTGTACACCACAAAATCCTGTGTGATCTGTCATCCTACAAACTGCTTTATCTTCCATCACTCTGCCATCTCACATGAGCTGTGACACTGCATTTGCATCCTTGTTATTCCTAAAAAAAAAAAAAAAAAA